ATCCCAGGCTGCCAACCTGGATTGTGCAGGCAGACCAATGATGAAAAAGAATGCTGTAATTGAAATGTATATTGGATTTATACATAATTTCTTTCTTTCTTTGTTATGGTCAGGGATAAAAAATTTCAAATTATTATTATTTTTTTCAGTGGTATATAATAATACATAATCAAATGATGCAGTCATCTGTCCAGCCAGCAGATGAAGACTTAGTTATTTTTTATTTAGCTATTTTAACAGTTGTTAATAGAAATCAGCAGGTCATCATAGGAGTGTCTTATCCTTTATCAGCCAGCTTAGTATGAGGTTTTAATCAGACAAAGGGAGATTCAAAGCAAGCTTATTTTTATGTTGTTTGTCATGTAATAAATACTTTTTTTCTAAAAAGATATTCATTCAAAGGCAGCATACATTTTTTATTTTCTCCAATGCAGTGTTTGCATAGCAGTTAGCAGTTTGTGTGTAGTTTGTTTATTATGTTGATTTCCCTGGCCATAAATATTATAACTCTGTGCCTATAAATTCCTCCCTAACTCTGAGCCAAACAAACAATCCCAAATGTTTGCTTGCTTATGTAAGTCACTGGCTCTAACTGCAATTATCTGACATGAGACTTAATGCTAATTAGTAGTGAACACTGAACACTGAGCACTAGTAAACAGCAAACTGTGATTAAGAGTAGCCAAGATCATCAGGCACCGAAATGACAAAAGCTAAAAAGGACATCTTCATTGAGGAAATCTGTGTAATTTTGGTCAAATCCAGGTTTAAGCAAATATGTTCTATCTGTAAAAACTAATATTAATATATACCGTAGGTCCCATTTCAATAGCAGCAGTATGATCTTACTGCAGCCGTACCCTTACTTAAAAAACAAACAAACTGTTGTACGATTATAAAGCAGAGAAATAATAAATACATGCACAATAAAAAAATAAATGGGACAGAGAAACCTCTGTGATGTTTTGTTGCCTCAATACAGTAGACTGCATTTATAAATAAGAAATAGAATGCAGGCCGCGATATTTAATAAGACTATGGAGTATAACGAATATGGGAGAGCAACATAAAAATCGAAATAGCTCAAAATCTCTATCCACACTGTTTAGTTGGCTATATAATATATTGAAGCACACTGCACAGTGAAACTTTAGTATCATATGTATAAAATTCATATGTCTAAACAATACTGTCACAGAGCATGAATTTTATAAATTATTTTGTAGTATATAAGTGTTGCTGATGCCATTGCAGTTTTTTTCAGTTACCTGACCTGGGGATGGGTTGATGTGGCTGTAAGAGACTTACCTGCAAACTAGTTCTGGCCCAATGACGCGCGCACACATCTCTGCGCAATCCTGTGCTAATATTTCCACGCAAACACGCATTGGTGTATAGATGTGCTGGGGATAGCATTACTCTTCATTTTGATTAGATGAGGAGCAAATTATATTGTTTTAACCTGGACCCCCGCTATATGTGCTGTCTGATGGTCAAAAGAATAGTGTGGGATGTATGTTGTAAATACAGGAAAGCCCATGTTGAGAATGTTTGTGGTAAAACTAAATCAAATGGTCAAATTGCAAGATGAGTGATGGTAACAGACCTCCTTCTATTGCTGCTTAAATTGTTGGTGCCTTCCAGAATTCCCCAACAAAATTGATTTATATTTTATTATTGTGGTTCTTCACTAAGCTTCAGTAAGTGTTTATTAAACGTTCAAGGTAAAGAACAAGATAATGTATGGCAACACTTTTCATGTGGTCTGTGGCAGCGCTAAAGCAAAGTATCTCAGACTTCCAACCTGGATTGTGCAGGCAGACCAATGATGAAAAAGAATGCTGTAATTGAAATGTATATTGGATTTATACATAATTTCTTTCTTTCTTTGTTATGGTCAGGGATAAAAAATTTCAAATTATTATTATTTTTTTCAGTGGTATATAATAATACATAATCAAATGATGCAGTCATCTGTCCAGCCAGCAGATGAAGACTTAGTTATTTTTTATTTAGCTATTTTAACAGTTGTTAATAGAAATCAGCAGGTCATCATAGGAGTGTCTTATCCTTTATCAGCCAGCTTAGTATGAGGTTTTAATCAGACAAAGGGAGATTCAAAGCAAGCTTATTTTTATGTTGTTTGTCATGTAATAAATACTTTTTTTCTAAAAAGATATTCATTCAAAGGCAGCATACATTTTTTATTTTCTCCAATGCAGTGTTTGCATAGCAGTTAGCAGTTTGTGTGTAGTTTGTTTATTATGTTGATTTCCCTGGCCATAAATATTATAACTCTGTGCCTATAAATTCCTCCCTAACTCTGAGCCAAACAAACAATCCCAAATGTTTGCTTGCTTATGTAAGTCACTGGCTCTAACTGCAATTATCTGACATGAGACTTAATGCTAATTAGTAGTGAACACTGAACACTGAGCACTAGTAAACAGCAAACTGTGATTAAGAGTAGCCAAGATCATCAGGCACCGAAATGACAAAAGCTAAAAAGGACATCTTCATTGAGGAAATCTGTGTAATTTTGGTCAAATCCAGGTTTAAGCAAATATGTTCTATCTGTAAAAACTAATATTAATATATACCGTAGGTCCCATTTCAATAGCAGCAGTATGATCTTACTGCAGCCGTACCCTTACTTAAAAAACAAACAAACTGTTGTACGATTATAAAGCAGAGAAATAATAAATACATGCACAATAAAAAAATAAATGGGACAGAGAAACCTCTGTGATGTTTTGTTGCCTCAATACAGTAGACTGCATTTATAAATAAGAAATAGAATGCAGGCCGCGATATTTAATAAGACTATGGAGTATAACGAATATGGGAGAGCAACATAAAAATCGAAATAGCTCAAAATCTCTATCCACACTGTTTAGTTGGCTATATAATATATTGAAGCACACTGCACAGTGAAACTTTAGTATCATATGTATAAAATTCATATGTCTAAACAATACTGTCACAGAGCATGAATTTTATAAATTATTTTGTAGTATATAAGTGTTGCTGATGCCATTGCAGTTTTTTTCAGTTACCTGACCTGGGGATGGGTTGATGTGGCTGTAAGAGACTTACCTGCAAACTAGTTCTGGCCCAATGACGCGCGCACACATCTCTGCGCAATCCTGTGCTAATATTTCCACGCAAACACGCATTGGTGTATAGATGTGCACGCACTGGAACATATAACGTATGGGTGCACGCACGTTAATGCATGCTCGTTAGTGGGTGTGCTCTTCCTATTTAAACAAGACATGAGCATGGAGCCTGTTGCTGGGTGGTCACCAGCTTGTCCCTGAGTTCCTTGCACCTGATTCTGTATATCTGCTTCCCTGTGTATGATCTGGTACCTCAATATTCTGCCTATCGGTGTATGACCCTGGCTTATGATCTTTGACTTCGCTCCTGACCATCATTCCTGTAAAGATTCTTCTTTCCTGTGAATGACCTCGGCAATCAGTTTTGACATAGCTCCTGCTTATCTTCTGGGTGCCTGGTACCCTTGCTGTCTTTTATCTTCATACCTGGTCCACGTTCATCTACAGCACAGCATTCCTTGGCTCCAGCTCCCAGAGGTTTCCCTGGTCATCCTGATCCCGTAGACTCGATCAACAGTTCTATGCTCTCAGACACATGCACAAACCTACAGTAATTCAGTTATTATTACCGGCATCTGTGCTACTCCACATCCTTACATCCCCTATCTCCACCTCCAGAGGTGTGGGACCAGAGGTGCATGGGCAGCCCCCTTAATAACTCAGTCACCAGTCAGGTACATGACAGTGACCTAAACATTTGAGAAAATCTCTGTTCTCCTCACTGGGGGTCTTCCTGTGGGATGTAAATGACTGGAAGGGCGTGCCAAGGGCTGAGGTGATGTTAAAGAGACATGCTATGTGCACACTGTTTTTCATCTCAGTCCTGGGGACTACAGAATTGAGGAATTTTTTTTGATCTTTAGATGAATATTTCTAAATAGATATGGATATTTGGTCCTGGAATCTCACTCTTGTTTCGTGATCCTTGACAAATACACTTTCATGTTTGTTTTAAAATGTTTGTGCATTCACAATGTATACATTCAGAGTGTATTTGAATTTTTTCACCGCTGTGCAAAAATTGCGTTAGAATTTCGTTATAAAACAAGAAAAAATAAAAATGTAAGAATATTATGTACTGAAAACCTTTGGTGAGCAGCTTGTGTTTGTTTCTATTGCTATGGGTCTTAGATGATAACTGTACTTTGATTATTGACATATAGTAAAGTTCTGTTGACTCTCATGACAAAAATTACAATACGGCTAAATGTTTTTGTTTTCTTTTGCAAAAATTAGTACAAATGTGCAGATTTTGACCATTGTTACACATATCTGCTTGCATAAAAGTAACATTTTTTAAAAACAAATACAGTTAAAAAATAGCACTTCTAACTCCAAAACTTCAGACTAAGAAGCTTGTCAAACTCAGTTTATCACTCTGCATTAGAAGGAATTTTCTGCCTAAACGACATGCTCTATTCATCCCTTTGGGTGAAAGGAGCTGTCATTCATACCCAGAGCCGGTAACTGCAGAAACGAAGAGAGAATTAGAAACTGCACAGGAATGTAGACCTCTACATACCAGTGACTGCTGGTGCACTTAACTGTATAGTGTGGGTGACACCATCATATATCCACTCAGATTAATAGCACTTGTCATCTAAGCATAAATGGGTATTTAAAGTGAACCTAACATATACTCCAAAACTAAAACAGAAAAATAGACCTGCAGGGAAAAGCACATTTGCTTACACCCCGTTCCTGGCAACACACACTCACCCTGGTTTTACTCCCGTTTCTCTGTTCAGCTGCTGTGAATGAAGAAAATACCCAGTACTTCCAGGTATAGACTAGTATGTGACTTATTCCATGTGACAGTAATCACCAAGCACCAGAGTCATGTGGTTACAATCTAAGCTATTACTTGAGCGACAAGTAACTTACATGGGACGGATTCTATAGCTCTCATCAGCAGGGCAGAGTAGCAGGGGAGCAAAGGAAAAGTAAGAATATATTGCTGGGGAGGGGCAAATTACAATGAACTTGTTGATGTGTCCTGAATGGAGTATGCATGGAGTACATTTTAGGTCTTCTTTAAAGTGACATTAAACCCTCAGATTTTTTAACATAAACCAATACTGTAATGTGTGCCTTACTGTAATCCATGGTTGTTTCCCTTCTCTTTGCTGCTCTTCCTTTTAAATCCTCATGTCTTCTCATGCTTGGGGAGAACTTCCCTTTCCAGCTCAGTGCCTCTTCCTGTAGTGCTGGCTCAGGTTGCAACGTACACACAGACACCATGTATCTATTCCAGAGACAAGGCAGTCTGCTGCAAAACAGAAGTTCTGCCCAGCATGAGAACAGATACAGATTTTAAAGGAAGAGCAGCAAAGAGAAGGGAAACAACCATGGATTACAGTAAGGCACACATTACACTATTGTTTTATTTAAAAAAATCTGAGGGTTTAATGTCACTTTAAGGATGGCAGACACGATATATCTCTATGGATATATGATGCCCTGAATGGGTTAAAGCACAGATTCACTTTCCACTATTTGTTGCCTTATTTAATCATTTACCTACTAGTCATTTTCTTGAGCCAGCAGTACCCAATCCAAGAGTAACCTTCGGGCATAGCCAGCCATTTCTGTCTGAACATCCCATTGCAGTAGCTGATGATCTGATGGCTCTGGCAAATTCCAAAAGAGTCGGTATAGCTAAGAGCACCTGTCCTTGGCTTTAATCATTTTGGAATGTGATGCACCTGGCTTCTAGAATTATAGATGATTTTCTATAAATGCTATTTTCCTGTGGGGCACAACATATTTGGTGACATGAGTGTGGGTTATATTTAATGTTCCACTGCTGCTTAAAACAGATATGACAACATTGTTCGAAATGTTGGAATATAATAAACGTTTTTCACATCTGGGTTAGTCTTTAGAGGTGTAGGCATAATCTGTATATAATAAGTGACAGTTGGAACCTTTTAATTTAAGGATAGAATAGGAAGTTGCCACAGGGAGGCTTTTTGGATATATTCCCTTAATAGCCTATACCCTGTAGGAAAGGCGCCCCCTGTTTGTGTTTTTTCCCTAGATTTTGCGGTCTCCCTGGCTGGTTTGGGGGCAGCATCCTGCAGACCTTTCTACACACGTGCTTTTTATTATTTATATATTTTTTAACAGACTTGTTTCTGATTACACTGGTGCTTATATTGGTCCATACTGGCGGAGTAGTCCTTTTTGGCGCTTTTTTGTGTTCATAGAATAGGAAGAGGTTAAAGCCCAACTTGTTTTTTTTTCTGTGTGTGTCTCTGCTGGAGCAGGAATAGGAGAGATGGGGGCACCAATTCAAATGACAGCTGTCCATGAGGGGATTTCCCCTCACTTTGGAGAGCATTCTTTTCACTATACATTGTGGGGGTAATTTATCAAAACTGGAGCAGACAAAATCTGGAGCAGCTGTGCATGGCAACCATTCAGCTTCTCTCTTCAGTTTGTTCAGTTAGTAATTGAAAATGAAAGAGAGAAGCTGATTGGTTGCCATGCACAGCTGCTCCAGATTTTGTCTGCTTCAGTTTTTATGAATTCCCTTCTGTGTCTTTGGGACGTAAAGGAAACAGAAATGTCCCCAACAGGACAGAGCCACCTAACAGGTATTGTAACTGTCAGAAAGCCAGAGCCAGAGTTCTTACATGCGCCTGGTGCAGCCCATAGAGCTGTATCAGATGCAGCATCTCCCGCTGAACACGGGTGCGCGCCGATGTATTGTTTGCATGTTTGGCGCCCTCTGGGCTATTGACTAGCAGACCTCCTTTGCTGTCAGATTTGTCCGCTTCCCTGTGTGCCTGTATCCTGTTCCTCAAGCGTTTATCTGTTATTGACCCGGGTTGGCTTGACCCTTCTGCTTCCCTCCAGTGATTAGACCCTCGGCTTGTTTGTCTGACGTTGTTCCTGCCTCATGCCCTGTACTGCGTTACATGCACGTTGATGACCTCGGCCTGTTCTGTCTATTCTGCTTATCCTTTGCCTGCTTGACCGGCAACCATCTCTGCATCTCCTGCTCATCTGATTCATCTACTGATGGCACTCCTGCCCCTCTCTGCCCTGGTGCTCCTGTGCCGATCCAGGTGCCCCAGGACCAGAGAACTGAGAGAGGCCACCCTGCACATCTCAGACTCCTCTAAGGTACGTGACAGTAACCATTCCCACTATGCAAACTAGAAAAAGAGTTTTGCCTTTATATACATTTTAACCTATCTTCTCCTAACTAATTCAGCATAGCTTATTCTAGTCATTTTGCAGACTGAAAACTACAACATATTGAATAGCGTCTACTAATTCAGACATTTATCTGCACAGCTAAATGTTTTGCAATGCTAGCTGGCCTTAAAGGTCAGTCCAGAGACAATATGCTTATGTCACCTGCATTGCTCACTCTCCATTTCCATATGACCTTAACATTAAGGATAGGTCAACAGATGGGCAGGAAAAATCTGATTATGAAATGTACAAAAAAAGAAGGAAAAGAAATGTTGTGAATTTTATAAGCAATTAATTTAATTTTCTCTTGCATCATAAACCAGATGTAATTTAAAGGCCTCTTAGTTTTAGCTTTTCATTTGCTGTAAATTGTTAAAAACAAATAAAATAACAGGAACAAAGCAGTTGAAAGTAGTAAAAGCTAAAAAAAACAACTTGTGGTCTAGATTGGGCAGTGATACACAGTAATAATTGAGCCAAATTGAGCAATTTATTGTCTATGTTTTGTTAAAGGATAACTGCACAAATTGCTGAGCTGGGGAAAATTAATGTAACATGTTATTTACACTCACCTCCATGTCTCTAACTTTCCAAAATGCAGTTTCAAATCACAGTTGCCAGAGTAACACTTTTGGTGTCAATATAGATTTTATTGTGGTTTTCTATATGTTAAATATAATATAAAACAAAACAACAGATCCTACAGATTAATTATTAATATTAATTTCCTCATTTTTGTAAAAAACAAAAAAAAGCAATGCTTCACCTTTTTAAAATTTGGCTACATTGCGTTATGCACATACCACTATTAAAACTATTGGGCTTCAAAATATGGCTTACTTACAGAAATATAAAACTATGCTATTTGAAGGACCCAGTATACATCGAGGTGAACTGTGCCTACTGAAAGACCCAGTCCCAGTATACTCCACAGTCAACTATGCCTATTGAGAGAACCAGTCCCAGTATACTCCACAGTCCACCCTGCCTATTGGAAGACCCAGTCCCAGTATACATTAAGGTAAAGTAAGTTTATTGAAAGGCCCAGCCCCAGTATACATCACGGTGAGCTGTGCTTATTGAAAGACCCAGTCCCAACATACATCATAGAGAACTGTGCTGACTGAAAGTCCCATTCCTAGTATACATGATAGTGAACTGTGCTTATTGAAAGACCAACTCCCAGTATACATCATGGTGAAATGTGCTTATTGAAAGATCCAGCCCCAGTATACATTACAGTGAACTGTGCTGACTGAAAGTGTCAATCCCAGCATACATAACGGAAAACTATGCTTGTAGAAAGACGCAGTTCCAGTATGCAGTACATCACGGAGAATTGAGCTTTATATTATTATTATACAGGATTTATATAGGGCCAACAGTTTGCGCAGCGCTTTACAATATAAGGAAGATATTACAGTTATAATACAATTCAAGACAAGATTGTTAGGAGGGCCCTGCCCATGTGAGTTTACTGTTTATCACAGATGTTTTCTCTTTTTAACTTTATTTTAGACCGGCATCTAGAAATGCAGCAAAAACATAGAGGGTGCCACAGGGTCAAAAAAGTCACCACAAGGTCACTTCTAAACTAACCCCAGTCTGTACAAAAAAAAATATTCTTAACTTTCCAATGTCCAAACTTTAAATGTTGCTTGATTGCTACTCCCTAGCTGCTGCAGGTACCTGACACTTTTGGGTGTGAATACCTGAAAAAATGAACCATGCATTTGTTGCGCAAGGTCTACTTTATTTAGGAAATTGGTACATTGATATATATCTCTCTTGTATACCTAATAACAGCTATTGAGTAAAGTAAACTGTTAAAAGAAATCACGCTGAACTCCATGTGGCCTGGTTTTTTCTAACTTCAGTAGTTTGTGAGCAAATAATACAAATCAAACAGGCGTCAAGTTCAGTCACACTGATGTCAGAGCCCGTAATCTGCATAATTATCCCTGGACAGTGACTAAGAAAGTATTTAGGACAGCAAGATAGGCAGACAGCTAGCATTTCCAGAAGCAGGGACCATCAGTGGCACTAAAACATTTATAAATAAGAAGATTAGAAATAAATGAACTCACTGAAAATGACGAACAATGCACTTGTTACCATATCTCCATGAAGCATTAAGTATGGTCCTCATATGATGTAGCATTTTAAGCTGCTTGTAGATTTTCCCACCTTAGTAAAAGGACAAGTTTGTAGTTTAAAGTAGATGTTTTGCAGTTCTGGCCAGAATGACTGAAAGCTTAGCTCTTCATAGGTGTCTGAATGATTATAGTGATTTCCCAATTGATCAAAGTACTAGCTTAGTACTGGATAAGGGAGAAAGCTCTCTTTGAACAGCCAGTTGTCTTGTGTAATATTTACCTTATCTGTGGAAACACAGTGGCGAAATACTTTTTGCCATTTAACATAACTGATATATTTTTTTCTCATAAAAGAACATTTAGGCTCGTTTATCAGTTTTCTTAAAGAGACACTATCACTTGCCCATTAAGGATCGTAGGGAGGCAATAATGAATCGGTAAAGTGACAGCATCTTTTAAAGTAAACCTGTCATTTTTAAAAGTCAAAGTCTTGGTAAGGGCAGATACTACTGGAAGTCTGTTATTACTATACTAGCCATAACAGCTTCTTCTGTGTCTCTCTCTGATTCACTTTTGGTCAGGGTTTGAAATCCCTGACTTCGTAGCAAACCTCCATCAAAAGCCATCGTTTTCCCAATTAACCAAGCCACTACAGCACTTTTAGCTGTGCAATCATTGTTGGTAGGGCTTCACCATGAAGTCAGGAAAAGCGAGGCCCTTGTCCGGGTTTCTTACCCTTCCTCCTCCAGTTGGCTGCAGCATGGCTTGTTTTGTAGTATGTTTGGCACTCCTGTTCCTCTTTGCTCCTATGACCAAACCCATAACCATTATCATCCTGCAACTATTAGCAAAACTCCTAGCAAATTCCTGTCTCAGAGTGATGATTCCCTGACCTGGTTCGGATGACTACCCATTTTGGCATCTGACCTGGCTTGGCATTGACTACGTCTTGGACTTCATCCAATGTTCTTTTGCCATTTTTTTGTTTATTGTTTTTCTCAATAAACTCCTTTTATTTTTAACTTGCACTTAAGGTTCGGTTTCTTGGTTTCCTAACACCCCTGCACTTACATCTGTAATTATGTGACAGGCCAGTGCATATCTGCATAAATCCCAGTTTGGGCATTTAATGGAGAAATTGATCCTCCAGCAGGGCCTTCTAAACAAAAAAGTCACTCTGGCAGCTCTACTCACCCAGTTTCCAGTCCTGTCCTCCACAGACTCAACAATCCAGCTCTACTCCTCTTTTGAGTTCATTGATGACCCGTGACATGAGACCCACTTCCTATAAGCCCAGGGTGTCAAGGCATCATCCCCTGCCCTAAATTACAGGAGAATTCTGCATGATACTTATTACTTGGCTGGAGGAAGAACAGGGCAAAGAGGACCTGTGATGCCATCAAACTCAGATGAAGACACCTTGAAAAAGGTATGTATAATGATGTGGTGCTCCACGTGGGTGGGGAGTTACAAATGGAGGGTTGTCTGAGTTCAGAGTTGTGCTTTAATACAGCTGTTCAACACTATCCGTTTTGGTTTTTTTTACAATCTCATTTAGCCAGTTTCTATCCAAACCCTTGGGTAGTAAAAGCACGAACCACTTATCCATGTTTGAATTACTATGCACTTGTAACTTCAAAGACTAAACAGTTTTCTAAGTTATAAGAAATGTGACAATGCAACTACTGTAGCTGTATAGCTATAAAAATATAGATTACAGTTGCCCCTGCATTCAAAAGATCACTATTTGGGTATTTCTTATTTTCAGAACATCGCTAAATGGTATATAGAAATGTTGTATTGATGGTGTGTGTGGTTGGATGGTAAAATTTCTAGGCTAGGAAAACCAAGATCTGATTGTCTTTATACATGCTTATATCGGTGCATTGCTCATTTCTTATTGCAGAACTTATAAAATAATAGCAGCATATCTAAATGGATCCAAATGAAAACTTTATTCCCATTGTCAAAGTAATTCAGAATATAAAGAAGCAGTATGAAATTTCCATGACGATATTTGTCCAACCTCTTCCCATTTCCATCTCTTCCTTTTGGTCAGAGTAAGGGGGGTTACCTGTAATGGGATCTTGGGGTCCCAATTATGAACAATGTGCAGTTTTATTTTAATAGTTGACCATTAGTAGTATCTGATCAATTATATATAAGTAGGCTGGAGATGTGATCCAGTCTTAAAGCAGACCTTTACACTCAAAAATCTAATTCTACCAATGCATCTCTCTATGCATGATGATTAATAATAACATAGACATATCAGGTGTAAAATATTGTGATTTTAAAATATTTACACTTGCACAGCATTCACTTCCTGCTTTGAAAGGGCAAATTACTTCAGTTTCCCAAAGCAATGCACACAGGGATTGCCTAGTCATCAGCAGAGCATTGCTGGGAAATCTCATCTCAGGGAAAGGCATTTTCCTACCCTGAGATGATGTGCATGGTCACATGTCCTAGTCACATGGATACTCACATTTGTCAGATTTTCAGAAAGTAAATGGAGAGCTAGTAATCTGCCCTTACTAAACATGGCCACTGTCAGAAGACTGAGAAAGAAAAGAGAAAAGAGATATACAAAGAATACAAAGCCGGCAATTATCTAGAAGTATGTGTTTGTAGATTTATTACGAAACATTTCTAAAGGTGTGTTTGTTGTTATTTTAAAGATACGGGTAAAGGCCCGCTTTAACAGAGCATGCCCTCCTTCTGCACAATGTATTCCACCCACCTCCGCACATGTATCATGATGTCCCAGTGAGGTGAAATCACAAGGCAAGTTTATTTAGGGTACATGGTATATGGGTTAGCACCATTTACAAGCCTTTTCACATGGTCAGACCCGGAAATAGATTGCTTAGAATAACGGTGTAGGTTATAGTGCTGCATGCTGGTCTCATTTGAGGGGCACATGTACAGGCAATACCAGCCACCTGTAGACTCAATAAAAGGTATCAGAGAACTCAACGCTGGAGACAACTATGGGGTGGGGGACCCAGGGAGGGTTGCAATGGTAGTGCCCCTGGCCAGCTGTGTATTAAAGTTACACCACCCCAGCAAAGCAAGACGCGACTGGACCCGCCTACTCCTCCTTGCCGTCTCTTCCGTATCTCCGCGTCGCAAGCGCCTGACACAAGCTGGACCCGCCTCCTCCTGCTCGCCGCCTCAGTGAGTTCATGAGGCAGCCAATGCTGCTCTATTTCGTGCAGCCCGGCTCGCCTTGCTGTTTTGGGGGGTCATTTTCACCGCCCCCCTTAAATCTGCCAATGGCAAAGAGACCTCTGTGGAGATGGTTACAAAGATCCTGAAGGATCATCCTTAATTTGTAACAAGATCATCAGTTACACTTTGTCCCTGCAACAGTCTGAAGTGCATACATTGTTTTTAATGGTGTTTGCAACTACTTTATCTACCAGTTTTGTTATTTATGAAGATTTGGGTGTTTTTATACTGTTGCATCCTTAAACCTGAAATTTGTGTACTTTACTAAAAAGAAACAAAATAAAATGTGTTGCTAATGGTCCAGTGTTGAACTTTCAATGTTGCTTTTAGTTGTGTAGCTACCTCTAAGAAATCTACAGGTCAAGAGAATTGCACAAGTTATATATTCTGAGTGCAAGCATCTAAGCCGATGTACGGCTGATTTCAGCCGATATACGGCTGAAATCAGCCGTACCAGCCTGAAGTGAATAGCCGAACGGTGTTCGGCTCACTTCACTTCTGATCGGTCATTCACTCGGCTGCCCTCGGCAGCTTTGTGAATAGACCCCTCAGTATTGTGCAACCTGGCCTGTCCAGGCCTGACCAGTCCATGAGGTTATTTTCCCATTTTCGGATGGAAGCGCATGGGGAAGACACAGGTAAGTTTAATGTTAACGTTTTTTTTACAATTTTGCTGATTGCTAGCAGTAGATATATGCAAAAACACCAGTGGGTTTAATAGCCCTTTAAGGAGGAAGTGGGTTGGGAGGGTATTAGGAAAGCAAGATAATTAAAGAGTCAAGTGTTAAGTCTAAGTCTAAGTGGTCAGAAAAGTCCTATTTATTGGAATTTGTTAAATTGGTGGCTCTGAATCTATGTGGCAGATGGAACATCATGTCTTCTAGGCCAAGTAAGAACTTAGGGTGGCCTAGAATTGGCGTCAGGGATCAATGGATTAGGGAGATATGAAGCTTAGTGAAGTATTTGGCTGTGATGACCAGGGTAGGTCTGATAGTAGGATGTTTGAGTAGGGTTGTCTGGCACTCAGAGGCATCAGAACCTTATTTACTCTGTAACAGTTGCGCCCATGCCTTTGGCAGCATGTAAGAAGCATAAAAGCTTTGTAACATTTGCAGCATGGGCACACTGCAAAGATGATAACAGATAAGATAGAAAGTCAAGCCATGTCTCTGTACCACCAACTTCCATGGCCATTACATAATTGCCATTCTCTGGAGTGTGACATTTAAAAAATTATTACTATTTCTTCAAATGCATTTTTTTATGATGTTACTGTGTGCAGTTGTTCCTAACAAAAATGATGTACAGACAAATTAAATTAACTGAATCAGTTGATCTCATATGTATACTGTATACACAGTTATACAAACACCTCTTTGCAGGAATTTTCATTAGAGTTCACACGGTGCTTCTTTGCATTCCAGCTACTATGTTTCTACTATTCTCCACTCAATCCCTGAAGAGCTTGCATACGTGATATGCCATTCTCCTTCTCCACATAAATAATGTATATAGGTTTATTTTCAGAGATAACAGTGTCATTTACTTGAACTTAAGTGGCTGTAAAAATTCTCTGCCCTGTGCTCATCTGACGTTCTTTCCTTATTCAAAGCTTTCAGTAGGAAACAACTGTGATAGATAAATAAAAAACATATTGATCAAAGCCATTCCTACTGCTGTCTAGAAGTAAGAAATGAGGAATCACAGCTGACTTTAAGGATTTTTCAAATGCTTTATTCCATGAACGACAAAAACAGGGAGAGAGGGTTAGGGCTGCAGACATCTCAAACAACACAGAACTCCCAACTCACCGACTACTTTCCAGGTTCACAGTGCAGAGGGCCTTTAATTTGAAAACACGATAACAATGTGTCAGAGAACCATAGCTAGTCAGCAGACATATTTCAAATCTTCCCTTGGTGAGACACCAGTTCCTCCCTGGCTCT